CGGAACTACGAGAAAGACAGTTTGCCACTCAGACTCCGTTTTTAAGTCGTTAAATGCATTTGCACCTCGCTTGGGATAAGTGGCTGCTTCTGAAAGTCCTTCAGTTGCTGCAGTTGGCAAATTCCCTTCCTCCTCCCTGAAATCATATTTGAGTCCTTTTTGTTTGTTTTTCTTTTTTGAGACAGAGTCTCACTTTCTTGCCGGACTAGAGTGCCGCCGTGGCATCAGCCTCGCTCACAGCAACCTCCAAACTCCTGGGCTCAAAGCGATCCGTCCTGCCTCAGCCTCCCCTAGCCACGTCTGGGGAGGCGAGGGCAGAGGATCCGGGCTCCGAGGTCAGGAGTTCGAGACCAGCCTGAGCAAGAGCGAGACCCCCGTCTCTACTACAAATGGAAAGAAATTAATCGGCCAACTGAAAATGCATAGAAAAAAAATGAGCCGGGCGTGGTGGCGCATGCCTGTAGTCCAGCTACTCGGGAGGCTGAGGCAGGAGGATCGCTTGAGCCCAGGAGTTGGAGGTTGCTGTGAGCGAGGCTGATGCCACGGCGGCACTCTAGTCCGCAAGAAAGTGAGACTCTGTCTCAAAAAAGAAAAACCCTTCTATTTTTAGTAGAGACGGGGTCTCGCTCTTGCTCAGGCTGGTCTTGAACTCCTGACCTCGAGCGATCCTCCTGCCTCGGCCTCCCAGAGTGCTAGGGTTACAGGCGTGAGCCACCGCGCCCGGCCCAGTCTTTCATTTTTTAATCAAATTTTTTGAAAAATAAAACCATACATATATTCAGATAGAGAGACACACACACAAAATATGGGGAGGGTGGAAAACAGGGCGGGAGGATCAGATTGCCTGAAGCTAGGAGTTCGAGACCAGCCTAAGCAACCTAGTGAGACCCCATCTCTACAAAAAAAAAAAAAATGAGCCAGGCATGGTGGCTTACACCTGTAGTCCCATCCACTCGGGAGGCTGAGGCAGGAGGATCGCTTGAGGCCAGGAGTTGGAGGTTGCAGCGAGCTGCGATGGCACCACTGCACTCCAGCCCAGGCGACGGAGCGAGACTCTGTCTCAAATAAATAAATAAAAAAAAGAAAGAAAAATTAAATCGGCGGAGGGGAACAAATATTAGCCAGAATCCCCGAACAGCTACTTTTTTGCTGTTGCCGTGTCGCTTTGCGTGGTCCCTTCTGTGCAGGAAACACAGGATTCTGTAGCCTGTTTTCTTTTCAACGCTGTGCTTGTGTGTGACTGCAAATCAAGCTGCGAGCAGCTCGCTCTGAATTGCATACACATTATAAGCGGATGGTTCTTTCGAGGGGAAGTGGCAACCTCATAACAATCTTCCGTGGTGCTCGATGGCATATCCGTGTTTCCCCGATTCTTTTATATTTAGACATCGACGACACGCTGAAGTCTGGTTGGTCGTCTTGTTGTCATCTGTCACTTCAGACATCTGCCTTTCCTGGATCTGAGGACTGAATAGTCTTGTCTTCGGGCAGAAACTGTCTCAGTCGAAATCACAGCAGATCTGGACTGCCTGTCCCCTGTCCCCACCCCGTGTCCCTGCTTTGCTTTTCTGTGTTTTCTTTCCCCTCCCGCCTGTACCATCACGGCTGTGACAGTGTGCTCTGTTGGTTGTGTTACAATGACAGGGTGAAGCCGAGAGAGAGCATGACCACAAAAGAGTCAAAGTGGAGAAAGAAACCAAATCGCAGTCCTCCTCCTCCTCCTCCTCCTCCTCCTCCCACAAGGAACCTTCTAAAACAAAGTGAGTATGAAGGTCACCCAAGCCTGAGCTCACAGGCGGCGATCAAAGTCGTCTTGGGTGTGGGCATGACAAAAAACTTCTTCTGCCGCAGAATTGTCACACCAGTAAACTTTTGGGGCTCCTTTTGTCACTTGCCGGGTTTGTGTTGCTTCACCCTCAGGGATCTTTCTTGGGGCATCACACTTAGGTTTGTCCGAAGCAGTTTTACTGTGGACAATTTCCTAAACATATGGAGTTATATTTTTTCTTTCTTTTTTTTTTTTTAAATATAAAAATTTTTTTCCTTTATTTATTTTTTTAAATCTGTCCTTGTATATATTTTTTTCTAAAGGAAAATAAGAAAGGTGCTATTGTTAATCCTGCCTTTGCACAATTGGAAACAGAGACACAGAGATAAAATTATTTGGCTTAAAGCCCAAGAGTCCTTGCCGGGTGCTAGAGCCAGCATGGGGACGCCAGGATCCTGGGTGCCACGTTCTTTTTCTAGAGACGAACGAGAACCTCGGCAGGACCCTTGTTGGGGACAGGGGTGACAGGCGAAAGTAGCAGGACAGTGTGAATCTAAAAAGCAATTATCATGTCGTCTCTGATGTGTTTTCGAGAAAGTGCTTCACAAAAGGACGTGACAAAAGCAAGTGCATCGTGTGTGTCCCCGCGGGGAGCCAACAGGGAAGTGACAGAGAGAGAGAGGGGACCGGAGTGGAGCGTGCAGCTGGGCAGGGGACAGGCTTAGGGGCGTTGGGGACCGGTGGCAGACTCCGCAAGCTTAGTGAAACATCATGGGACTTCGTTTGTTGCAAACGCACAGGGCTAGATTGCTCAAAGGCATCAAAAGGTCCCTGAAATTCAGCCTCCCTGCAGGCGTCATTTCGTGCACAGTCTGTTGTGCCGGTGGCCGGTGAGTTTGTCCTTTGTCACCGAACAGCTAAGGCCACGTGTCACTCGTGTTCTGCCCACACTGAGTCTCTCATGGTGCTTCCCTCCAGGATGCCCCGGCCCTGCGCAGAGCCCTCAAGGAAGGAAATGCTTCCTCCCCCAGCCGT